GCCCGGAGAGGGGGCGACCCTGTCTGAGCAGCTGTTCTTCCCCCAAGCCCCCTCTTCCAACTCCCCATCCACCCCCTTCCCCCAGCAACTGCCAGCCTGCCCACAGCTCTCTTCCAAAGACAGGCGCCACGCTCAGCCCCTCGTGCCCTGGCTTGTGCGTGCAGTGAGGTGGGGACGGTCTGGGGGAGCTTTGCGCCTGGCTGCACTAGGGCTTCCGAACAGGTTTGGTAGCCAGGTCAATAATTGACAGAGCTCCAGGGCGGCAGGAAGGGAAGCTTCCCCCAGCAACTGCCAGCCTGCCCACAGCTCTCTTCCAAAGACAGGCGCCACGCTCAGCCCCTCGTGCCCTGGCTTGTGCGTGCAGTGAGGTGGGGACGGTCTGGGGGAGCTTTGCGCCTGGCTGCACTAGGGCTTCCGAACAGGTTTGGTAGCCAGGTCAATAATTGACAGAGCTCCAGGGCGGCAGGAAGGGAAGAGGAGAGAGGAAGTTGAAACCTACCTGGCCTGCAGCTAGGAAGAGAGAACTTTGCTTGGAATGCTTGGAGGGGAGCCTGCGCTTGGCTTGCATTTGCATCTCCAAGGAGACAGCCCCGAAGCCTCCTTCCTCTCCAGCTCAGGTTGCTGCTCCCTAGAAAATGGCTGCAAGCTCTAGTGCTGGCACAGGGTGGGGGCGGTGGGGCGGTAATAAGAACAAGGCAGCCAGCAGCACCTGTCGGTCTGCGCAACAAGACACCAGCAGCAATAACACTTAGTGCTTCCACGGACCTTCACCCCTGGTCACAGGTCACCTCACTGAGGAGGCAGGGGAATCATTGTCCTTTTTTTAGATGGAGAAACTGAGGCACAGAAGGGCATGACTCGTCCAAGGTCACACAGCAACGTGTTGGCAGAGCTGGGAATAGAAACCCAGGTCTTGCCACCCAGCTCTCTGGAAATAACCCCATGGTGATTTCTGAGGGTAATTTGGCCTTCCTTGTGGGTCTTGGCATTTCTTTTGAATGCAAGCAATGCGGGGGATGGGTAGTTCTTCCAAAGACCCTTGTCTGCATTAAGTTTTGTCACTTTAATTATAGTTATCCGTCGTGTGGTGCAATTCTATTGTTATAAAACAGCCTCATCCCACTGCAACAGCCTGCGCACTAGGCTTTATGGCTGGACTGTGTTGGTTGATACATGTGTGTATGTGGCGCCGCACACCTGTGTTTGCCATGCTCACGCCAGTGTACTTTTCAAGTGTAGACCAGGCCTGAGTCTGCCCAGGCCACAGGCAAACAGCTGAGGGGGGGGGCCTGTGCCTTGCACATGGAAGAGGTGTTGTGTGTGCGGGAATGTCTAACTGAGAAGTATCAGCATGAACTACTTCACCCCTGGCACTTTAAGGAGCAATCTCCAGTTATTCCCCCCTCCCGCTTCCTGCTCTCCCCATCCCTGCTGGATTGATTTGAATGGCTGGGCCATGGGGGTGGACCATGGGGGTTCAGCACATATTTGGGAGGGGTGTGTCGGCCTTCTAGGCCATGGGGGTGGCTGACTGGTTCAGCACATATTTGGGAGGGGTGTGTCGGCCTTCTAGTACAATGGAAGGGGAAGAGATTCAAGGCTGAGACCCAGCCAGAGTGGGACAGGAAGGGAGGTCTGCGCTGCATCTACCACAGTGGGGCCCAAGCTGGAGGCGTCTCAACTGCAGTGTTAACGTACAATAATGCGCAGCCTTTCTGCACTCCCTCGCCTGCAGCGTGGGCCGCGAGTTCCAGGGCCTGGCTCTGTTGCACAGCCAGGGTCCGTGTACTTAACCCCAGGGGCAGATGAGAGTTTTGCGGGGCCCAGGGTGCGGGGCCTATTGAAGCGCGGGGCCTGGGGCAGCCGCCCCACTCGCCCTGTCCTATATCCACCGCTGCTTAACCCTACCTGGCTTCTCTCTGATAACCCAGAGCCCTGAAACAAAGGACAGGACTATGCAGCACTTTAAAGACTAACAAGAATAAAGTGCTGCATAGTCCTGTCTTTTGTTTCAGCAAGACCAGACTAACACGGCTGCATCTCTGTTACTAACCCAGAGCCCTGCCTGCCCTGCAGTTTGACCTGTGCTAGCAACAAAGGGAGTCCAGATCCATAAAGTATTAGTATGGACAGGGGCTGCATTTACACACACCTCTTTGGGGCAGAGATGGGGAACCCAAAGCACACCCCTGTGCTGGGAGGCTCTGCTGTGCTCCAGGGATACTCAACCCCTGCCTCCCCCCCCTCTCCCGGCCCCGGCATTCAGCCTGAGAGTTTTACCAAGGGAAGGCAGGTGATTCGCAGCCCAGACTGCACTGGAGAGGGGCCCCTGCAGGCTGCCTCAGGAAGTGTTCTGAACTGCTGCACCTCCTGAGTTGTGTTCCCTCCATCCCCCCCCCCCCCCCGCGTACCCCCCAGAACTGGCCCCAGTCACCAATGCTCCACAGCCAGGGAGCAGACAAAGGACAGATCCTAGAGTAAACCAAGCACAATCACAGTCTTTACAGCCACTGTGGCTCAGACTGTGATATAAAAAGTCAGGTCACTGGTCCATAGAACCCCAGGTGGCCGTGGTGAGGGAGGGAGCAGAGTTTTGTGTGACATCCTGGCTGTGTCTACACTGCAAACTTCTATAGAAAAAAGATACGCAAATTGCGAACCGCAATCTGCATCTCTTTTCCCGCTTTTCTTCCGAAAGAGGCTTTTCCGACATTTGGCCAGTCTACACCGGGCCAATTGTTGGGAAAAAAGCCTCTTTCGGAACATCCCTTCTTCCTCATAGAGTGAGGTTTACAGGGATGCCGCAAAACGCATCTGCTTTTCCAAAAAAATTTTCAGAAAAGCAGACACGTTCCTTGGATGTGGCACACCTTTTCCGGTATACCTCTGGCATCCTGGAAAAACTCTGCCATCTAGATGCACCCGCTGTCTAGCCCAACTGGCAGAAGAGGAAGAGAGAGATCATCCGCGTTAACACTATCGAACGGGTGGTTAAAATCCAGAACTCAGCCCATTTCCTTGCCGAGGTGGGACTGTGGCAGGAACTGGGCTGGCATTTTTTCCTGTTCCTACCCTAATTTGTACATCTATCCCTGAAGAGTGTGGTGGCGAAGGAAGAGAAGTAGCAGAACAAAAGGGTCTGCCTGCATAACCCATAACTAACACTGTAGCTGTCACCCCAGTGGCTAGTGCAGGTGTAGCGGCTTGAGTCTGCCCCTTTAGTTCAAGGTTTGCACTTTCAGATTCAGAGCTCAAATTCTTCCACAAGTTGATCTGAGGAAGTGGGTCTGGCCCACTAAAGCTCATCACCTAATAAACCATCTTGTTAGTCTTTAAAGTTCTGCATAGTCCTGTCTTTTGTTTCAGCAAGACCAGACTAACACGACTACATCTCTATTACTACAGCTCCTGGGTGTGATTCTTAGTGACACACCAGCCAAGGGACAGTGTTACATCTGTAGAGGGGCATTTTGCACAGCACAGCTGTGCTAGTGCAGATTCCCAATGCCGACACATTGCAAAAGTGACTCCCACAGTGGCAAGTCACTTTTTTCACTAGGTTAGCTCACCAACACGAGGGGTTTGCACTGGTGCAGCTGTGTCAAGTTTGCTTTCCCAGTGCAAAAAGTTCCTGGAATAGTTAAGCCCCCAGCCTGTATTCTGCTCTGCTGCCCGTTGCCCTGAGGGTTAATTAGGAGGGAAGGGTTGCTCCCTGTTCCCAGAGCCCAGCTCCGTTAGCCTCCTAGCTGACCACTGCAGGCACCCTGCAGGACTGGCACTTGTTACCTAAGGATGCCAGCATGTCATGCAGGTCCTCCTTGTCGATGAAGCCATCGCGGTTCTGGTCAATCATGTTGAAAGCCTCCTTGAACTCCTGGATTTGCGACTGGTCAAACATGGCAAAGACATTGGAAGTGGCGCGCTGGGGGCGCTTCTTGGTGGTTTTGGCCTTGGCTCTCTTGCTGGACATCTTGGCAGCTGGGGCTTTTCCTCCTGAGCAAGACAGGGGAAGCAGAAAGGAGACTGAGCAACCACAGAAGGAGACAGAATTGACAGGAATGGAGAGGCACCCTGCATCTGAGTGAATGCAGAGCTGGGGGTGAAGCTCTGTGAGTTCTGGTCCTGCCCATGCAGCCAGATCAGTTGTTTAACTGCCCTTCCCCATTGGCAAAATGGGGATAATCGCATTTCCCTAACTTTCTCCAGACAGGAGAGGGTCTGATTTAATTAATTAGCTGGTAAATTATTCTGCAGTCATTGCAAAGGGGTGATGATTGCAGGGGATGCTAGGGGTGACTGCACCCTCTGAATTCAGCTTTGCTGCAACTGGTGCACGGAGCCAAGAGCAAACACCTGGATTTTCTTCCCTCCTTGAGGAAGGCCCTGAATTCCAGTACTGACCCCAGCAGGTAAAACAGTTCCATGTGTATTTCAGCCAATCATGCCCATTTGTGCTGTGATACAGAGCTCCCCTTCCCCACCATGCATCTCCTTATAGCTCTGGGGCGGAGTGAGGCTGTTTTCTCTGGTTCCAGGGGGGCATGGTCTGGAAGGAGACTCTGCTCTTACATGTAGTGGGGCAGGTTAGTTATTGTGATGGAAGGGGTATTGTGATGCTCTGGGTTTCCTGGTACATTCTGCAGAGTCAGCCTGCAGCAAAGCAGGATGCGTGGGGTCCCCTGCCATACAGAGCAGCCCGCTTTGTCCGGTTCTGTTTGGGTCTTGCACCTTAGGGTTCTGAGTTCCAGGAAATGAAGTCACACCCCGGTGCCACCTTCTGACGGAGTGTTCAAGGGTTTTTCCTCCGTGTGAACAGAACTGCCACCGCCTGATGTGAGGTTCCTCTCGGGTAGCACCAGCACCAGGCCTAGCCATGGTGGGAGCACTGCTGTTGGCTTGGCTCCAGGGTCGTCTGAGCTTGCAGGATTAATGGTTAGAGCACCAGCGACCAAATTAACACTCCCACCTCTAGCGCTTACAGCTGCTGAGGTGCAGGCCGAGCTATTCAGTGCTCCCCTCTCTGCATGTACCCTAGCCTTTTCCTAGACCAGCCGGGGTGGGCAATAATTTTAGCTGAGGGGGGCCACTTCAGAAATTTTTGAAGTGGCCCTGGGCCACCCCGAAAGGGGTGGGGCCCCAAGCAGAAGGGGCGGCGCCAGGACACTTCTGTGCTTCCCTGCCCACAGACCCTAATTGGCCTGGGGGTGGGGGAGCACTGAAGTCTTTGCCTTGACCCCCCAGAGAAAATCGCCAGCTGTTCAGAACAGCTGGCAGTTCCTTCTAGGCACCAGAGCCTCTGCTAGCGGAAGGAGACTGCACGCACCTCCTCCGCCCCCAGGCCAATCAGGGTCTGTGGGCAGGGGACCGTGCAAAGTCCCTTGCTCCCTGCCCTGACGGTTGACTCTAAGCACTGCATACCCCCGGCAGGAGAGGAAACTTTGCGTGCTTCCCTGTGCCCCGATGGGCCTGGGGGTGGGGGAGCGACAGGGTGTGCAGGGGCTGGATCAACCGCTTGGCGGACTGGATTCAGCCTGTGGAGGCCTTTTGCCCACCCCTGTCCTAGACCTTTTCCAGACTCAGGTCTTACTCTGACCCACCCATGCCCCCTGTTGATCCAAGCACCTTTAGAAGGTGAGAAGAGAAAAATACTCCAGGAACCAAGCTGGCAGCCTTCTTGACCTAGGTCTGCCCTTGCAGCCGCTCCTTGTGGGGGGCCCCAGGGCTCTGGCAGTACCTGCCAGTCTCAGACTGGCCCCAGCAGCGCCACCAGGCCGCCCCACCCAGCTACAGGTGCTTGCTAGCGGGCGTGTGGTGTTACATCAGTGTCTTGTGCGACGAGTCCCCCTCGCCCCTCCAGGGAGCTTGCCAGACTGGGCTCCTGTTGCCGCTGGTATGTCCCCCCCACCCTGCGCGTGTGCCTGAATGCAAAATGTGGCCCACTCTTAGCTAGAAGAGCCCTGAGCAATAAAGCCGCGTCTCTCAGGACCCCGGGGAAAGGGGGCTGCGTGGTCGAAGAGGGTCCAGTAGGTGGCATGCTGCACAGATGCCTGGTCCCCCAAGCCAAGGGCAGCCCCCAGGTCAGGCAGGGTGTCCCCACGGTTAGGATCCTTGCCTGGAGAGGGTAGACTCCCCCCTCCCCTCCAGCCGCTCCATCACCCAGCCCCAGGGCGCTGTCTTGTCATGTGCTGGAAGCACACAAAGAAAGGCGCTCAACCCAGGCCGGGCTCTGGGCCGCGGTCCCCAAGCCTGCTGGGAGCAAGCAGGAAGCTGGTTATCTGCTCCTCGCACATTCCTAGCATTCCTCTCCCCTCCCCCTGCGCTTTGTGTAGCCAGGCGCCAGGCTTGCCGCGCGGGCTCATCCGCGTAGCCCAGGGGTCCCAGCAGAGCCAAGGGCTGAGGGGATCCGGGGAGGGGGGCTTGGAGTTACATTCTGGGGGCCTGAGACCCCCAGTCCCCTGCACAACAGCCAGCTGCAGCCACTCTTGCCTTGATGGGCTCTGCCGGGGTTCTCAGCTCGCCCCCGCTGCCCCGTCCATGTCCCGGGTGGGCCACGGGACTCAGAGGGCAGCCCTGCTTCCCCCAGCTCCTGAGCGCCTCCCTGCCAGGACCTCCCCAGCATTTGCCATGGGGCTGTGCTGTTGTGGCGGGCCTTCCCCCCCGTCCAAGCCCCACCAGGTCTCCTGGCAACAGCCCTGGCTGCCCATTGCCAGGGGGTTACCCCCTTTGTTGCTGCTGCTGCTGCTGCCCCATGTCTGCCTGCTCATCATTCCTGCACTGGCCACCTGACTCTCTGACACAGGGGCACGGAGCCTAAGGCCCCCAGTTGGCCTGGGTCTGAACCCTGAGGCTCAGGGCTCCCCCCCAGCATTGAGAGCCCGCATGGGTCCTCCAGCCCCTCTGCGCCCCAACTGCCAGCATCCCCTGCTTAGTGTGCTCCGCTGATACATGCACCTTGCTCCCGGATGGACTCCCCACCTGCATGGTCCAATCTGGCCCCCAAGGCCTGAGGCCTCAGCCAGTCAAGGTGGGCAGATGGCATCCTTGATTGAGTCCCACATGGCTTCACGCTCCACCTGCCAGCTGAGGCAGTGAGCCAGGCTGGCGCACAGAGGACAGGACAGGGGACACCTGCCTCCCCAGGGCTCTGTTCCTTACTGCCACTGAGAGCTGTGGGTGGGGCAGGAATCCCGGTCAGGGCGCGTTTGCGCCCCACAGTGGCCGGTAGTGGCCCTTGTATCCGGAGTGCGAGTTTCAGTCACTGCCCAATGAACTCACATAAAACACACCAACACCCTGTCATCTGGCAAACGCTTGTCAAGGGCCTCCGCTCTGTCTCTGAGCTAGCAGCTGTCCTCCTCCGGACCTGCACAGCTCCTTCAAACGGGCTTCCACTCGTTACTGTGCCAACACCTAAACCACGGACTGAACAGAGGCTCTGGATTGATGGCTCTGTCCCACCTTCAATTTTCTGTAAGCCAGCACCTTCCCCAGGGCTGGGTGCTCCAAAGCGCCTCGCTCTCCCCAAGAGAAGTTGCTCCAATATAAAGTGCTATCTCACCCACCTTGTCTCCCTTCCATCCTGGCACCTGCGACAGGCAGGGCAGACCCTGGCCCAATTTGCTATTCGAATGTAAAAGGTTAACTGCTTCCCGGTAAGTATTAACCTTACCAGCATGTTTACCCAGTAACCGGTTCACCAAAGGGCCGGGTGCGGGGAACAGCTCCCAGCCAACCAGAGCAGTTCCCCACCCACAGTGTGACAGGACCCTAGCCAGCTGGAGCAGCCTGTGACAGGACTCCAGCTGTCTGGAGGAGCCTCCCCAATCCCCCCAGCCTGCGACAGGCTGGCTGGACCCCAGCTGCGCGGTTAACCAGTTAAATAATTACAATTGTATTGTTTAACCAGTTAACTGTTTGTAATGGATATTTACATCCCTCTTCGCTATCACCAGGTCCTCCCACTCTTCCTTCCTGCTCCCTACTCCTCCTCCCTGGCACTAGAGGGGTGACCAGAAAATACACATTAATGTGGGGCAGAAAGTCGTGGCTTTGAAACGTACTTTCATAGTGCTGGGAAGCAAGAGCGGGACCTTGGAATTGCTTCGGGAAAGAGCACAAGAAAGCACAAGCCAAGGAGTGAAACCCAGCTCTCCTGGCCATCCCTCAGCGGAGTACTCCAATCGCCACCCCACTGGCTGGCCAGACCTGCTGCCTGGGCCCGAGACACCTGCCTGACAAAGGAGCCTTCAAACCCAAATGGTTCTGTGGAACGTTTTGATTTTCACCAATTGGCATTTTCCAAATAAAAAATGTTTGGTAACAAAATCCTAAGCAGCTCTGCCTCTGTAGCTCCCACCTGGGTTCCCCCCAGCTCTTGCTGCCCCAATCCACCTGCCACCTGCCACCGGGCTAGGGTTGCCAGGTGTCCGGTTTTCTACCGGACAGTCCAAACCCAAATGGTTCTGTGGAACGTTTTGATTTTCACCAATTGGCATTTTCCAAATAAAAAATGTTTGGTAACAAAATCCTAAGCAGCTCTGCCTCTGTAGCTCCCACCTGGGTTCCCCCCAGCTCTTGCTGCCCCAATCCACCTGCCACCTGCCACCGGGCTAGGGTTGCCAGGTGTCCGGTTTTCTACCGGACAGTCCCG